CCCACACAAGTTTGGGGTTGGTTGGGAGTTTATAATTCTCACAGTCATGGTTCTCTAGCCCAGGGCTCGGGGGGTCCCAGAGCCCATCATCGGTGTTGAAGACCGAGGCAAAGAAAGCATTAAACATCTCTGTTTTGTCGATGTCCCTGTTTGTGAGGTGACCGTGCTCATCAAGTAATGAGCCAATGTTATTTCTGGCCTGCCTTTTGCTATTAACATACTTTAAAAAGCCCTTTTTATTGTCCTTCACAGTACTGGCCAGCTTTAGCTCTAACTGAGCTTTGGCCATGTGAATTTCTTCCCTACAGTGGTGAACAGCCTCTCTAGTCCTCCCATGTCGCCTGACCTTGCTTCCACTGGCCATATGTTTTCTTTTTTCACCTTAGTTCTAGAAGATCCCTACTCAGCCAAGCTGGCCTTCTACCTTGCTGCTTGACTCCTGACATTTTGGAATTGCCTGCTCCTGTGCTCTTAGGAGGTGATACTTAAAAAGTGACTAGTTGTTGGCCATGTTTTTGTTTCTGTTTTTGCTATTAGCCTGCAGCATGTACTGGTAGCTGATTTGGGGATTTGAACAGGTATAGATCTGAGACTTGCAAAATTGGTTTTGCAGTGGAGTGGTGATGGTAACTGCTTAATGTGCTAGATGTGCCTGTTAGTGATTAGTCAGAAAAGAAAATCACTCCTTTAAAGTGATAGGTGACTCCATTCATGCAAGGAAAAGGTCTGTGTTGGTCAGTTTGAAGATCCTGGTTTTGCTTCTACTCTGGTGATTTCTGTGAGGCTTTGAATATGTCAAGGGTTTAAGTCTGAATGTGGAGTTTTGTACAGGTCTTGGATCTTTGCAAATCCCAGCTGTTGCAGAAAATTTAGTTATGTGAATGTGTTGGAAAATAAATAATGGGTTTACATTAACAAGTGAAATGGAAGATTTAATTGCTTACATGTGCTAACCTGCTCTAAGATTCTGATTTTTGTAAATCTGTCTAGTATTAACTGAGTTAAAAATTAAATCTTGCATATCATGTATAAATCAAGAGTTTGCAAACATATTCTAAATGCTGTTTTAAGTAAATGTTATTTTATGCAGTTGCGTTGTCACACTTGAGCAGCTAGATCATCAATTCAAGTTAATACCACTTACTATATACAGGGTTTCACATCCCAGCAAAACCAGGGTTTGATCTGTTGCTCCATGTAACATAAACCAAGGATTCCTGTTGACTTTGAGTTGGGCCTTAAGTTTAGCTGTTCTAGGTTAGCCGGCTTGCTATGCAGAGGCTCCTTGGCACAGTTAATAAATATCACAGTGCAATTTGTGGAACCTTCAGAAATGTACAGCACAAGGGTCACGAGCTAACAAATAACAAGTGGTTCACCACTATCTAGTCTTCCAGATGTCACCAGACTGTGCCTGAAAGCATATGGAAATACTGTAAGACCTGCAGCCTACTCAGGGCTTTTTCTCTTCATACATTGTGGAAAGAACCTGTATCCCTTTTTCCCCCTGCTCCATGCTCTCTGGTAATTCTCATGTGCTTTATGGTCGGAGACATCACATATGTCAGAGCATCCTAACAGGCAGGACAGCATGGAAAAGCTGTGCCTGGTAAAAAGCCTTTCATGTGGCCTGACACAGGCTACTGTATTGTAGCTTGGAGGAATACGCAGTCAAGCTCTTTGGTGATTGGAGCCTAACCTGTGCACTAAAGCCTTTCATGAGACTGGTAAACCAGTCATCCATATGGCTACTGGTAAACTGTTTAGGAATTAGTGGTTTGGAGAATACAGTTTTAGAGAGTATGTTGGCCTTGGGCGTTGTGCTTATGAGACATGGGGTGAACAGGTGTGAGTTTGGATTAGCCAGTGAACCCCAGAGAGATTTTAGTGTGTGGTGATCTGCAAATTTGAATGTCTATCCAGAGCAGCCACAGGAGGAAGAAAAAAACCCTGTAACAACATCTGAAATGGAAATAGGTGACATTCTCCCAAGAACAGGAAGGATACAAAGATGGATCAGGTCCAGAATCCCATCTGTGACAAGGGTCAGCAGCAGATGACTGGAAGAAACAGGCAGATGATGTAGTTGCATGCAAGGGTGGGTTGATAGCACATTATATTAAAACCAGTGGTAAAAGTAAGAGTAATATCTCTCTGAATTTTCCCTGCTCTGTTTTGATGAATCTGCAGTGGTTGCCTTAAATTACCGTTTAGGTTTCTAATCTACTCTTTGCTGCCTTCTTTGTACTGAGTAGACCAGTGAGATTTTGTCTAAGTGGCTGAGAAAGTGTAAACGAGCGCTATTAATATGTCTTGTACTGAGTGAACAATCAACCCCCTGTGCCCCCCTTCCCAAAGACGTCAAACGTGTATTCAGTGTCTCGCACATCTACGGCTATGGGAAAAGACTCAGTCATAATGATTGCGTTTGACTCCTGCCCTCAGATGCCAGCTATTTGCTGGGAATTACCTGCAGGTACATAGAGCGTGTGTCCGACTTGATTGTAACATGTTCCCTTCCGATGGATCAGGAGTGACTAGGCAGAGGAATTACCATCGTGGAGAGGGTTGTTAAGCGCTCAGCTCTGACTTCCAGAACGGCAATCAATATCAGCCCTCACACTTGAGACAAGCATATGCACTCCTTGGTGGTAGTTAAATGTATTCAGAAGAGAATCACAGAACTAAGTAATTTGGAAAGGACCTCTGGGGGCCGTGTAGTCCAACCACTAGCTCAGAACAGGTCCAGTTAGAGCAGGCAGCTCAGGACTGTGCATAATCAAGTTTTTTTGTATTCTGAAGGACAGAGATTTCAGTCTCTCTAGGCCCTTCCTAGTCTTTGACCATCCTCAAGATGAAATGTTTTTTTTTTTTTTATAGAATGATAATTTCTTGTATTCCAGCTGTGTTTGTTGCCTCTCAGCCTTTTTCTGCAGACCTCTGGCGCCATCTTCTCTATGCTGTCCCATTAACTCGTTGCAGAGAGCAGTAAGATTTCCCTTGAGTTGTCTCTCCTTGAGGCAGAACAAACCCAGCTCTCTCAGCCTTTCCATACACATCACCCACTCTGCACCTTGAGTGTTGTGGTAGCTGTTTGCTGGACTCAATTCAGTATGTTGAAGCCATTTTTCTACAGGGGAGCTCAATACTAGACAGAGTACTCCTGATGTGATCTCACAAGTGTCCGTTAGGGGAAGAATTGTTCCCCTCGGCCTGCTGGCTGCATTCTTGGTAACAGAGCCCAGGATGCAGCTGGCCTTTGCTGAAAGGGCAGGCACTGCTGACTTGTACTCAGTTTGTCCACTGGGGCCCTCATGTCTTCTTCTGTAAAGCTAATTTTGAGCTGGCTTCCAACTCGTACTTTTGCATGGAGTAATTTGTCTTACTGTTTGCTCGCAGGGGTGTATAGACACATGGTTCGCTTAAAACAGGTTATTGTGTACAAACACACATTATTGCTGCCTTCAGAGTGCCCAGAGTTTTTAATGAGTTCATTCTGTGATACCCTCAGTCAAGACTGCAAAAGTCTCTGCTTAAAGCAGACCTATCACTTGAGGATGATATATGTTCATGTTGCAACACTGTGCTGTTTTGTCACCACTGTTTCACGCTGTGAGGGCACAGATTTTACTATGTAGTTATTTTTCAAGAACAGCTTTGACAACAAGTATTTTCCCTTCGGTCCTGTACAAATAAATTCTGGCTAATCTGTATTAGGATTACTAAATGAGACAAAATGAAGCAGAAAAATGCTATTAATGTCAATAGCACCAGCACTTGCCTTATGCGGCAGATTGCAATCAATGATAGCTTGACTGCTTGTACCATCTAGTTTTTCGTGCTCAGACTCACTTTCACAGCTGGGAGTCAGAAAGGTGCTGCAGTATGGAGTGGGGGGGATCTGTATAGACTCCACTGTAAGCATGATTTTCCCCCAGATAGCACTGGTAGGAATGGGCTACAGACAGCCCTCCTGCGAGCTTTACTATCACTGTCCTGTATTTCTTCCACTGGGCAAAACCAGGGTACGCAGCTGGCTTGAGTCACGTGAGCGCGCTACGGCAGCAGAGCTGGCTCCGAGTGACTGTGGAAGCCCAGGTACTGGGAAGCGGACTTCCAGCTCACACGAAGGATTTTTATGGTATTCAAATGCTGCCTTCAGTTGCTAAGAAATTAGTTCAGTTGTTTTCCTTACTGTCCATAAGAGATTTTTTTTTTTCTTAATGAGGAACTATTTCATGTCACGTGCTGTGAATATTTCCCCCGTGTTTCTTTTTGCTGTATGAAAAAGGTATGCTTGTCTAGTACAGGTTTTCTGGATAAGGTGATTAAACAGGCAAAGTTCTGACACGTGTTTACCAGCAACATCGTTACTTATGACTGTGGACAAAATGTTTTATGTGGCCTTCCCTCATGCTTTCAGAGAAGGAAACTGTATGATACTTCATGTGGCTCTCTTGTCTGCTTGGTCTCTCGTTCAGTTGAAAGAAAGGGGCAGCTCTGTCCGGATTATATTCTGATGCCTGTCTTAGATTGCCTGGCAGATGGATTAAGATAAATTCAGATGACATTAGCAATGAATCTAAATACTTATCTTTGGGGAATGTTGGTTTTCTTTTGGAAAAATGCATACGTGACGGTCATGTTGTGAATAGTAGAGCTTTCCGTCATTCTCCCAAAAAGGATGTGAAGTGTCTTATAGCAGTGTCTTTAAATGTACTTTTCCTAGACTCCACTGCATACTTTTGAACGGTCCCTATGGTGACAGTGCTGCAGTGAAACTGAAAACACAGCGCTGAAATTCTTCGGTACCGAGGACCCTGCTGTTAATTCTCTTGATAGCCATATTACAAGAGGAGCTGTACAGTCATTAGCATGCCATGATATATAGTTGTATAGAATGTTAACAGTGCTGTGGGATTGCTTAGAAATTTCATGACAACCTTAAATCTCCTCTTGGCTGACTGCTGAATAGTTCTTTTGTTTCCCTTTTTTTCCAGCGCGAGATGAGAACACAGCCACTTTCCGTGGTTCCGAATACCTTTGCTATGACCTGTCGCAAAACCCCATCCAGAGCAGCAGCGATGAGATCACTCTCTCCTTCAAGACATGGCAACGCAATGGGCTCATTCTGCACACCGGCAAGTCAGCTGATTATGTCAACCTGGCCCTGAAAGATGGTGCGGTCTCGTTGGTCATTAACCTGGGGTCTGGGGCCTTCGAGGCCATTGTGGAGCCAGTCAATGGCAAGTTCAATGACAACGCGTGGCATGACGTTAAGGTGACACGCAACCTGCGGCAGGTAATGGTGAAGGGGAGAAAATGCTGGGGAAAATTTTGTTCTGTTGTATTGGGACGGGCAGATGGGAGAAAGTAATGGAGAAATGAGGATGCTCAGTGGAATTGCTAGAGTTTCTCCACCTTTTCTGGATCTTGGTGTCTAAAGGACAGTGGAAAAACAGTAGTTGATGAGAATTTATCCCTGTTGCAATATCTTCATTTCCACTTTATTAATTTTCTGTTTTTTTCCAGTTTGATTTAATAATAAAAACTTGTGACATAACTTTATTTTCATCTCTCTTTTCCTTTTCTCTTTTTCTATTCTCCCTTTTTTATTTTATTATTTCCTTAATTATGATTCAATCTTATCAGTAATATTCTTGTTGCATTTAATTACTGTGGGAACAGAGTCTTTTTCTAACAGCTCTACACCTCTCTCTTTTTTCTTTCAGTTTTGTTAATTGGTTTAACCATTGCCATGATGTCATAATTCTAATTCTGGAAGTCTTTTGTTTTTCCTTTCCTTTTTCTTTTCTTTTGTGTGTGCATGTGAGTGTGCAGGTATGCAGGCTGGTGGGTACGTGTGTAATTATTTTAACTTTATAGCTTTGGAAGTAATTGGCTGGAGTCTTTCTGAGTCTTCTTGATTCTCTGTTCTTCTTTTCTTCTTTTTGATTTTTCCCCTTTCTTTCTATAATGAGATTCTACTTTATTTCTTGTGTCTCTGCCTATGAGACTCTTCTGTTGGCTGTGAGGACTGGAAAAGTGGAAGGATCAAAAAAGCCAGGCAAACCCAGATCAATCCAGCACCCTACAATTCCACTTTGGAAAAGTTTTTCTGATTTTACCACTGTAATTTTGCACATCTGCATGCTGCTTTTCTAAGCAGACAACTCTATCAGGTGACGTATTTAGTAGAAGGCTAGTCTTAAAATCCTGAAGCCTTCCTCATGAAATATAACTTCAGACATAAATAGATAAGATAAAATTAAATAGCCTTGCTCTGAAAGCTGGTGAATATATGAAGTCACTAAGGCCCATCTGCTGCATGATAAATGAGGTTTACGCTGTGAATAGGAGCTATTTGGTGTCTTGCTGATTGGTAGAGGCAGCAGAATTAGCTTGTAAACTAAGATTTTAAAGTAAATTTGTGAAAAAATGTGATCTGTTTATTTGCTCATTAATGTGAATATTAACACAACCCTTAATAGTTTTATTTAAGCTTATACAATGTCATTTGCTGAGAAAACAGCTTTTGTGGTAATATTTTACAGTAACTAAGATAAAATGTATCTTTGAGTATAGGATAATCAATGCTAGGGATCAGAAACAGTCTCTACTAGTAGATGTCAGTGCATAATTTATCTGCTATGGGGATTTCACATCTTTCTTTTAAATATTTGGGTTTGGGGCTGAAGATATTTTTTTTTTCCCCCATGTGAATCCCTGTATTTCTACATGCTCAGGGTGTCTGGGTCTTTGATGACAAATCTGTCATCAAACTTTCATGAGACTGCAGGGTTCTTACATATGGCAACATGAGTCTGTTTTCAACAGTTAATATGCAAATGCAAATTTAATTTCTTATGCAGTGGATGGGTCTTAATGATCCTATTTTGTTCAAGCGTTCCCATCAGGCCAGTAGAGGGAGATGCACCAACCGGTTGAGGTTTGTCAGTCTGGAAGGGTCAGAATATATGGCTTTATGTGATGTGTTTTTTCTTTTTAGATGGTCTCACAATGGCTGGTCTCTGAATATCTCGGTATAGCTTACTGGTTCGTTTAGTTAATCATACTTTTTATTTTCGTTGGAAGTCGGTTTTCAATGGGAAAATGTGCCTGAAGCAAAATGCATCCTTGCTTCATGCCAGGGTTGGTTTTGATCTTGAAGAAGCAGAAAGTGAGGAAGGATCACAGATGAAACTGTGGACAAGAAGCTCTAACTTTCTTTTCCTAATCTTTCAGCTAGTGATGTTTTAATTTATTTTCTGGGTCCACAGTTAAATGGAAATATGTCTATGCCTCTTTGTCTTGATTAGACCATGACAGTGCTTTGGCGATTATTAGAAAGCAGGTGAGTCCCTTACCAGTTAAGCAGCACTGCAAATTTTTAATCTTCCTGATCTATTCACTATGGATGTTTTCATGTGATCCTGAATTCTTAAAGGGTCCAACCTGACTGGGCAAGAGAGGATGTTTTAGTAAGGTGGTGCTCTTTCTAAAGAAAGGCCAGTCTTAAAATCAAATTAAAAATAAGTAGCAGAGGTGGTCTGGGGTCCAATTCTATAGATAGGCATGACAGAATACAGTTCAACCAATAATATCGATAAGGCTGGAACTTTTTTGGGTCATCTTTTCCCTGGACACTTCCATTTTAACTTGTGATCAAGTTCAGTCTCAAAATTAAGACATTGACCCAGAACCTAAAACTACCTAGAAATTAGAATTGATGAGGCCTTGAGGAGAAGCAATCCTGCTAGTCCTGAAAGTTGTAATCCAAAAATTATTGGTAAGTTTAACTACAGTTTTCAATAAGGAGAAACCTTGAATGCTGCAGCCTTCCTGTTGGGTCCCGTGTATTCTTACTTTTAATTGATATTACTAAGGATGAAGAGGTCTTAAACCCCTTCAATCTTCAGGATAAAGAGTTTGGAAAAGATCGAAAACTTGAATGACTGATAATTAATTAATACCTGCTATGGACATTTTTCAGGACACAACTAAGAATGGTCACTCTATATCTTGACCTTATAAATGCTTCATTTAACCAAAAAAAAAAACCAAAAACCAAAACAAAAAAACAAACCACCATTCTAAATAAAGCACAGGATGAAGGAGTTTTGTTTTTCTCCATTCTGACAGCAGCTTCCATCAGCTTATGCCTCCTGGTTTTGTCTGTGTGTACAGAAGAGAACACTTCTCTATCTGTAAAATACTTAACCATTTTTCAGACAGGCTATGAGCCTGTGAAGTTCTTTGGTATCTTCACATAGAAGATGTAATAAAGGACAAAGATTACTTATCATTTATGAAATTATACATTTTGTCCTTTATTGCATCCAATATAATTTTGTATATCCTAAATAATTTTGTATGTAAGAAATTATCTACTCTGCATCTTTCCTGACATAAATTCACCTGTAAAGTTGCAGCATAATGTAGGTCACTTGGAAGTCTTGTTTCCAGCTGTGCTCATGTTTCCTCAAAAAACCCACCCCAAAACCTAACAAAAAATCCCAACAACAAAAAAAATGCGCCTGAATATTGAAGCTTTGTAAGGAAATCAGTAGCCTCTTTGTAATTGGTTGAAAACACTGCACTGGAGATAAATATACTTCTCTTTAAAATGAACTTAAAAAAAAATTTAGAAATTCCAAGAATACAATCCAAAGCTAAAACAATTCCAGGTAAATGGGCTATCAGCAGCTTCAGGATGCCATCTAGTCTTTTCCTCTGCTCTTTTTGGGGCTGGGAGAAGGTGGAGGAGGATTTGCATAATTTTTTGGTTGCTCCTAGAATTAGAGCAGAACTTTAAGTAGCTGGACTTTTGCCCAGTACTTTTTGGAACTGTTAAATGTTTTGTAGCTAAGCTAGGCAAGTACTAAGTGCTGCCGTTTTTTAGATCAAATGAGTATCACAGCAGTTAATCTCCTTTAGAGACAAACCAAGTGAACCTACAGATTCCCTTGCGTAGTGATTGTTAATGTCAAAGCAAATCTCCTTGTTTATTTATCTTATTATTCCAGTTAAAACTAAGCCTTCTTTCTGCCTTGTGAGAAACCTTTACTAGAAATAGGATCATGACTGTATTTTACCAGGGCTTTCAGAGCATGTTTGGGGCAGTGTGGTCTGGTGGGAGGAGGAGCGGAGGAGACTGAAGGTCAGACTTCCCGTGTCTGTCTTCAGGTCTGCTGCTGACACTCCATCTCATTTTTAGCATGCTCTTCCCCCCATCCCATACTCCAACTCCCTTGTTTGTAAAAATGGATTTACTAATACAACATATCACTGACAGTGAGTTCCTTGACAAAGAATTCAGGAGTTTGTGCTTGCTATACCCAAGTACAGATTATTATTATTTCATTCCCATAGACAAATAAAATAGACTTGGGACATTATGTTCAATGCCATGAAGTTTTCACAAACTTATTTCCTTAGTCAATGCACAATTCTCTGAAATTTGCAGATAGTTTTTACATGAGGCAGCATAGATCTTGCTTATGTAATTTAGGGTAGTTCTTGCCAACTTGAGTCACACTGGAACAAGGACTTGGAGCCTCCACGGGCTGCACTTCCCTATTAACACTGAAACTAGTCACCATGCAAAATCTGCTGTAAAGATCTAGAGTTCCTCAGCTGCTTAAAAGCAAACAAGAAACAATGTGTAGGTTTGAACAGTTGGCATCTGCATGCCTTGGGAGGGATTAACAAAGCATCTGCAAAGTTCTGCTAAACCCAACTAAGAGAGCTGACTGGTGAATTCTCCTAGGTCCTCTGTAATATAGATGCAGTATAACAGCAGAGACATTAAATCTTGTCAATCTTCTGTCTTGAACCTTGGCACAAGCGACACAATTCGTCCTACACAATTCCTCGACACATTTCTTCCTACAGTAAGAGAAGTTCATCTCCTATACTCTCGGATGACAGAAATGAGCTACAGGCAAACAGCCAAGCACAGGCATTTTTGTGTGCTTCTCCCAAAAGTCACAAACTCACCTCCTGTAAAGAAACCTGCAGACTGGGAAACTTGGAAGGAAGACTCAGAGTCTTGGACTCATCTTCATCTGTATCCTCCAGCCAAAGGAAATATTGGTCAGCTTGTGATACTCTGCAACACTTGAGGGTAGTGAGGCTTGGCAGAGGAGCAGGGATGGAGGGGGGGGGGGGGGAGAAATGTAGGTGGGTGGTGGTGGGTAGAAGAAGGGAGTCATGGTTGGGTTTGTGCTGAAGGGGTGAACTGCGTACTGTCCGTGTACAACTCTGAGGGTAAGGTTCTTGTTTAAGGGAAGCACCTTGATGGGCATTTGAAGAGTAAGTATTGCACTGTTTTAACTTTGCTTCAGGCCTGGATAATTTATATGAGGGTTGAAGTTAATGACAAATACCAGGGTGGGAAGACTAGACAACAGCCGCCTTCTTTACGGTCTAGATGGCATGGTTCCCCATAGAGTCCTGGTCATATTGTCCTCTTTCTCACTTTGTGTGTCTCAGGTGCCCCACACCTTTTTTTGAAAGACTAACACTAGACCATTCATGCAATGTGTCATTTTTACTAACCAACTAATGTACTAACACCCTAACGACTCATCTTTGCTTTTAGTTATTTTAATTAACAATCGTTCTGTTCACGATTTTTTAATTTCCTTTCTTCCCCCTTTTCCGCAAAGCACTCAGGCATTGGACACGCTATGGTAAACAAACTACATTGTCTGGTAGATATCATTCTTATTGTCTCTTTTTTTGGGTTTGCCGTGTGTTACCTTCCTTTTCCTCCCCCTACCCCCTCTTTTTCCTCCCTCCTTTATACTTACTTCTTCCTTTAATTTTATTTCAATTTCATTGAAAACACTTTTATTCTTTTTTTTTTTTCCTTTCTTTTCTTCTTTTTTAATGGAAAAATGAGCAACAAAAGCAACTAACACAACTCTTCTGGAAACAGGGTTTGGACATTTCTTTCATTGGTTTCTTCACCTCCCTTATTAGTTCTTCTTTTCCATGCCAGTGATAAACTGTTGGGTTTTTTGTCCCTTGCTTTTGAGTTTAGCTTTCTCTCTTTTGCTTGTTTTTCATTTTGCTTTTTTTCCTCTTTTTGTTTTTTGTTTTTTACTCTGAAGGTTTCTAGATCAGAACCATTGCAGGGCCTCTAGTCCATGGTGGTGAAGGCTCTCTTTTTCTCTCATCCTTTTGTTGTGGCAACGGCTATTACAGGCAAACTGGCCGGAGTTGTCCTCTTTCTCCTGATTTTCCCCCACTTCCCTCCCTCCTCTTTCTCTCCTCCTCCCCCCTCTTGCTCTCTCTCTCTCTCACTTTCTCTCTCTGCCCTCTCCCTGCCGTGGCCGACAGGAGCTCAGCCGGTTGTTTGTTTCAGTACACACTCTGCATGGCATGTCCACGTCTGGTGACTCACCCGTCTCCTCTTGGCCTCAATCTAGTTTCCTCCATCTTCCTTTTAAGCCACTAACAACATCTAAGCAAAACACATCAAATTCACTTGCTCCTCTCCCTCCCTCTCCTTCTACCCCCCTTCGCCCTCCATGTGTTTGGTGTTAGAGGTTTTGGGGACATTCCTGTTTGGTTTTGAGGGTTTTTTTTATTATTATTATTATGGGGTTTGTTTGGTATTTTTATTTTTGATTGCATGCAAGTGTGAAATAGTTTTTCCCCCCTCTCTCTCTTTCTTCCTCCCTCCCTCTCTCTCTTCTCTCTTTTTTTCCTGTCATCTTTCTGGGCTCCAGATATATTGGCATGACATGTCAAAGTGCAGCGTGTGCACGCTTTGTGTTTTCTTTCTTTTCATCTCTGCTTCTCTCAGACTTGTTGGTGTGTGGTTGATTTATTTTGATTTATTTTATTTTGATTTATTTCCTATTTCTATTTTGGTTATGAGTTAATTTGGAATATAGATTTTTTTTTTTTTTTTTTTTGTGGTGGGTGGTGGGTGTGTGTCTCTCTAGGTACATGGCATGCACATCCATAATGTATTGAAAGTGAGATCCCTCCTCCCCCACCCTGGAATGCATGATCGTCAGTGTGCTGTGAGCAAAAGAAACATAAAAAATAAAAAATACCAACCTCGACTTCATTAGTGTTTTGTTTTTTTTTTTTTTACTAACAACCATAACTAACTGTAATCATTAAAAAAAATACTAATTAATCATAAAATCAGCTAATATGAGAAATCTCTTTCAAGGACAGTTCCATTTTCTGGCCTGAATAGATGGAAAGCATCTCAATGGGTAGACTGCCGGGTCAGCATGACAGTGCTGATACACCAGAAAGGGGAGAAGCAGATGCTGGAGTATTTCCATTGTGGGTGAAGCAGACCAGAAAATGGAGCTTGGCTGAACTAAAAAAATACATACCAAATCTCAACAAAATCCTTAATGAAACTGACATAAAAATATAGGAGAGGTTACTTGTTCTGTTCAGGATTGTAAGGTCATTGCTGGGATTTTCTTTGTCCGTTGTGTCCCTCGAACAGGTGACAATCTCTGTGGATGGCATCCTTACCACCACGGGCTACACACAGGAGGACTACACCATGCTGGGCTCGGATGACTTCTTTTACGTAGGAGGGAGCCCCAGTACTGCTGATTTACCTGGCTCTCCAGTAAGCAACAACTTCATGGGCTGCCTCAAAGAGGTAACTATTTCAAATTAATTCTTGTTTCTGCGCTTTTGGTTTCTCAAAGTCATCGCTCTTTCCTGACTTCTGTTACACACGCGATGTCTTTCACTGCAAGAGCTCTGTAAGGATAAACTTGTCATTCAGCTGGACAGAAGGCACCAGAATCAGACTTCTAGTGCTTGGATTACAGAAAAAATACCTATGGTTGTGGGAGAGGTGTCTTCTGTAAGCTATTAACCATTCAGAAAAGAGCATTAGAGCTTTCTAGGCACTGAGGCAATAACCATTAGAAAAAGATAAATGGCCTTTGATTACTAAGCAGCATTTTTGGGTGAAAGAATCATAATCAGAACTTTATTTAGGATATTTTTTTTTGAGGTTCTGGATTTCACCTGGGAATATAGTTAGTTGTCAATTTTCCAGGAAGATACAGAGTTAGAATAAACCAGAAAAATGGAAGTTGAAGGTAGCATAAAATGTACGTGTAAATTATGTGAGGAGAATGCAGCATGAGGATGTAATGGAGATGTGGCAATAATGTGTCATGTGGACTTGAAGTGTACTGTGTTGGTAAATCCATGCGGCAGAGTTGCTGCATTCATCAGGAATAGCTAGCTGGCTTCCGAAACCATGCTGTTTCATGGTGGCTGGCTGCCCTTGTCATGCAGTGAATCCACAACTTTGAGAAAATCTACATATAAGTAATAGAGATTGGACTGCCTGGCTAGCAGCAGGAACAAGACTAGTGTTCCTTTCTGGGAATGGGGGAAGTAAAAAAAACAAACAATCAAACAAAAAAAACCCAACAAAAAAAATCCCCAAACCCAACCAGATGAAGCATCAGCCCAAATCCGAAACTTCGTGCACTTGTTGTTCAGGTGTTGTGCCCTGCAGTCAGCTTTTGTCTTCTTTCCTGTATCTTCTAATAGAATTTGTGATGATCACTGTGATTAATGGTGATACAGGTATTGACACCTCCAAAATGAGTAATAGAAAGCTTACTGAAAAACAAGCTTATGTTTTCTGTCAGTCAGCTTCCTAGCTAGCCTGGAATAAGAGTTTTTTGCAAGAGTTTTCTCCCTAATGTTGTGATCCTGTACTAATACTGTTTTTCACAGGGTGTGGCTGGGTGGGTCTAATTTTATTTGCAGCCTGGAGGGTTGTCATAATATCCTCTTTGTATGAACATCTAATATCAGAGGGAAGGCGGAGCTGAGTTCTCATACAGGAGTCATGGTAACAGCAATGCTGAGCTAGATCTTGTTCTGTGGCTGTAACTGCCTGACGAGTTACCATCCTACTGATGCTCGACTCATGGTGTCAGGGGTGGTATGTTATGTGCCAGTCCTTTGATGCGAGTGATGGCTATCAGAGTCTGGAGCTGCTCTCCTGCCTGACCTCTGGATTAGTTAAGGGGATGCACATATGCTGGAAAAGATCATGTGAGCATCTGACATAGGAGATGAAACTGCCCTGCTGAATACAAACTGTCATATGGAGATCAAATCCTTCTGTTTTCATCTATAGAGCCTTGGGCCTGATTTTCCTAGGCACTGAGCATCCCAGTTTGATTGAAATAAAGAGCAGATACAGCTTCTTAGTGTCTCTTTAAATCAGGATCTTAATTTTATTTATGGATGCTATGAACATAGTACTTTGTCGAGGCCATTTTTATGTGTGCTTTAAGTCAAGCCAATGGAGCAGAGAAAGCGGTGACAAGAAAATCTTCAGCAGCTTTATTATTTATATAATCATTTGTATTCTATTAGCTTGCACAATGTGCGAAGAGCTGCTTACATAGCCATCCCAGGCTCATAATGCTCTGTGAGAAGAAAAAAACCAAGCAACCACTTAAGAATGAGAGGAAGAGGAAGAAAACAGATAATCAGAATGTGCTTTGTAATCTTCACTTGACTAGGCAGTGACAGGAGATGTGTATGAGCAGCTGTCTTGACTTAAAGACAGGCTGGTGCTGGCTGGGTTTGAGCTACAGTCTGCTTAATAGCAACCTGCTCTTAGTGGCCCAGTAATGCGTTCAGCTGTTGTGAAAATGTGCCCAAAATGTACCTTGCCTGGCTTCTGAGGACGAATCCGGTATACACTATTCACTAAACATAAGTGTAGGGCAGGGTTGTCAGGGGAGGCAGCTGGAAATGGGATGAATGGAGAAATGTAATATTTCAAAAGGAAAGCCATGTTACTAATTAGCACTTTGCATGTCCATTCTGTCATTCCTCCAGACCTCTTAGGCCGCAGAATGAGTTACCGCAGGTATCGCTAGGAAGGGTAAGGAAGCTGACCCTTGTGCTTTTCCTCAGTTCTGGTTTTGGCAAGTGGAGGTGATGGGGAACTGCGATTAATAGAGAAAGAGCGGCCCTAGATGACTGTCACAATCCTGACAAAATCCAGAAGTGCTGCCGTAATGCTGATACCTGCACAGAGCAGAGTCTGATCAGAATAGATAGCCTGTATAGGCTGAGAAGGGTTCTCATTGCATATGTAGTGAGTTATTCTCAGACATCAAAGCAGGCAGTGCTTTCATTAAATGGAGCTTTGGATGAGTTGAGCAGAAAATATTTTGCCTTGTGAAATTCCTCCCAGGGTCGGTCTCCTCTTCTTTCCTTTGCTAGGGTTGAAAACACTGATGGCAAAAGTAGCAGAATCAACTTGAGATCCACCTGGAATTAGGGGACGGTTCTTTTGAGTGTTTTCTTTATGTTTACTTCTGAAATGCCAGGGTATATCTGTGCAATGCAATGCAGCATGGTATGAAATAAACCTGAGCTGGCTTGAGAAAGCTAGAATACCTGTGAGGATCAGGCTGACCCCCTGGGGCAGCCAGCTTTGGTCCTTGAAGAGGCAGAACTGGTTTAGTGCAGTGCTTGTGTGCCTATAATGTTTCTTGTTCCAGAACTGGCTACAGGGAACTTTACTTGGCTCTCTGCATAGCATGGCAGTGTATTTCATAAATCAATCCCTATAGGTTATGTTTTAAAATTCACAATGAGAACAGTCAACCATTGGAATTATCTCCCCAGGGAAGTGGTTGACGCCACGCTGAACACTTGTAAGACTCAGCTGGACAGGGTGCTGGGCCATCTCATCTAGGCTGTGCTCTTGCCTAGAAAGGTTGGCCCAGATGATCCTTGAGGTCCCTTCCAACCTGGCATTCTAGGATTCTATGAACATTTTTTTCTCTGTGGCCAAGAAGGATGCTTAGTCTCTCATCAGCCAGTACTGGAGAAGCTTGAGCTTTTAAGAAAAATATTCTAAGCTAAGAAAGTCAAATAAAGGGGTAGGATAGACTGTAATAGCAAATATTGTTCCTTTCAGCTTATGCTTTCTGGTAGAGCAATGCTCTTTTTTCCTACCAAAGTCCTAGCTGTGTAATCACCTGTTCCCAGAGACACAGCACATCCTGAGTGCTGCTGTTTGTGAGCTGAGCACTGCTGTTTGTAATGGTGAGGAACATTCTGCCAAACCCTGTACTGATCTCTTGAAGGTGTTAAAGCAGAATGGTCTATTCCTACTCCTCTGCATTCGTTGAAGACTTCCTCTAGGGGTACCTCGCTTTCCTAGGAAGGCAAAGGGATTGATGCAGGCTTTGGGGTGAAACTTTCAGCCTTCCCCCTATAATGTCTTATTTCATCTGGACTGCATCATCCTCAGAGTACAGCAACCAAATTGCTCAGATGGGAGCTAAGAGGGCTCCTTGAGTGGAGCATTGCCTTCCCACTTCCTCTGAGATTACATGCAGGTGCTGAAGTGCAATGGGGCAGTGCCTAATGACCCTCTCTGCCCCTCTGCAGCTGGGAAGGACTTCTCCACTCAGCTGGGGTTGGTGGTAGGAGGGGCAGCTCTGAGCTAATGTTTCCTCCTTGCACCACAGAACAGATCCTCCTTCCTCTTCTTTTCCTTATGGCTACAGATTCTGATTGAAGAGATTCCACTAAGTTGCTAGCAGTAATATACCTAAATCATAAATCCAAGTGCTGAATGTGTAGTTTGGGTTGGATTTTTCTTCCATTTTCATCAGAATTAAGGATGTCCCAATGTCTGGTAGCACTGTTTGTTTTACATTTCTCTATAGCCATCCTGGCAGTGTTGCAGTATACCTGATACTGTAATGAGGGAGCAAGACTGGAAAATATAATTAACTTTTTCCATGAAAATTTTAAAAGGCAGAATATGCGAATAGGGCAGTATACACAGAGATCAGACACAGACATTGCATAAAATCTAAGGCTTTTTGGACTTTCACTCTTAAGATAAATTGTTCTAGATGAACTCTGGGGAGAAGCTGGTGTATTTCATGTTGTGGAGGAAACCAGATATACAGATGGGATGGGAGGAGGTGTAGAAGCACATCTGAGGCAAGTGAGCAGAAATGTTTTTTAATGGGTGTCAGGGAAGGAGTGACAGTGCTTTCAGAGTCAGTGAATGGATAAACGGGGAGAAGCACTGCCTGAAGGTGGAAAGGGAAAAGGATCTGTTAATAGTTTTTTAGAGACGCCTGTGTGGCCAGAATGATGTAGGACAAGAAAGGTAATGACAAACAGCTATGTTTTGCATGTACTGGAGAGTCTCAGGGACGAGGTTCTGGTAATCAGGGATCGAGATAGAGAGTGGCTGGGTGGGAGATTTAGTTGTGTAGGCAAAGAGGGAAAACTGGATTTCAATCTCCAATCACTAGGGAAGGGAGAGAATCGAAATATTTCCTAGGGTCTATTACGGAGCCAGCCATTCAGATTTGGTTTACTTGGAGCAATACTTAGATGGTACAGATGGAGGTGCTTTAGAAGAGCCTAAGGTGGCCCCTAGAGAATGGATGTGCATGAGAGAATTTATGAAATCTTCACATTTTTCTATCAATGCTTTATTAAAATCTCAATTCTGAAAAATGTTGATTGCTACTAACAGCTTGATGGAAGCAGTGAGGTTTGCATATGGGCGGAATATGGCAGAAATTATTGCAGGGGTCAGGCACCATCTGGCCATGATGGGAGAAAGCTGTG